AATATTGGGTACATTTATTGTTAACCCACATCATAATAGTAGTAACTCTTTATAATACATTATTAGTTCACTCCACATATAGTCACAGCTGCCCTGGGGTTTGACTGGGAGAAGCAAGGCTGCCTATTTGCGACATTGGTCCCTCTGATCACAACTTTGATAACAAACACACCACAATGAGTGCATATACATACTCATCAGTATCCCGGTTATGATCAGGTTTTTTGAGTATCCCCGTTTCTTCATGGTGCATGTATATGCAGTACCCCGGTTTCAGTATATGGCAGTATCCCGGTTATTAGAAACCGGGTTACTGTAGTTGGTATATTCTGATAGTAACCAGGATACTGTGGCATGTATACTCAGTACCCCGGTTACTGCAACGTAAAGATGAGTGCGCATGCGTCCAAAAGACACTTTCCAGTCTTTTCACCACAACAGTAGCGACATAAATAAAGTGACCAACATAAATAAAGTGACCACACGAGTGAAATGACTGTAAAATAAAGAGCTGTGCTAAACCTGCACATGTACAATCTGCACTCGTATGACCTGCACGCATATGATCGCTGAAAAGCTAAAACATAAACTATCTTCTATACAACACACGCACAGAACACACTTATCATCATTAGCGCCTCTTCTGTCACAAAAAAACAAAACAAATAAAACCCCCCCACACACACACATTATCCACTGAGTTGTGTCTTTTAGTCCGAAAGAAGCTGATCGCATCAGCGGCACAAGGAGCGAGATGTTTTTTTTATCACAGCTAACAGTTTATGCTAATTAGCCATGCAGTCTTAAGTTTCGTTTCTGTAAAATGTAAACAAATGTGATCAGAGCTGAATTACGGCCTGATGTGGCTCTATGGTAGTTATGGTTTATATGTTGTAAAGTTGAGTTTATTTATGCAGAAGATTTGAATGAAGAATCTGTTGGGTTTGATTTGTGCAGTGGATTGTGGGAGATCTCACAGCTCCTCACCGCTGGTTAAACCTCCCGAGCTTCTTATGCTAAAGGAGCTCACGGCTTGTATTTTTCCTGGTTTATTAAACTGATTTAAGTAAATTTTTGCGCTTGCGCATTTGTAAGATTATGTCAAGAAACCGGGATACTCAGTTTGACCATGTATACACGAATATGAGTATCCTGGTTCCTCAGTGCGCATGTATACGCAGTAACCCGAATACTGACATAACCGGGATACTGATGTGCATGTATACGCACTCAATGTGGGTGAAGTGTCTTGCCTAACACACAACATGCAAGAATCATCCTCTGACCACTGAGTTGCTGGACAGGTGATCTAAACGCTGAGCCACTGTTGCACCAAAACTTGGCGAATGCATTTCTGAAAACAACTTAAAATCTAATATTTCTCAACAAATGTCTCAAATCGACAAGCTGCGGGTGAATCTGTTGGCTTTTTCCTTATAGTTTTGTTTTTAGACAGTTTGAGAAAGTCCTGTGGTGTGTTCAGTTTCTGTAGGATTTCTCAGTGCCAATCAAAAAATGAAAAGAGCAGTTTTACTTCATCTTCAAGACAGCTGCGGACCAAACCTCCACATCACTCCTATGTCATGACAGGCTGAAAGGGACAGAGGGAGAGAGAGAGAAAGAGAGAGACGGAAAAAGTATGATGCAGAGTGAGATGGACAGAGACGGAGATCAAAACAGAGAGCGAGAAAGAGGGAAAAAGGTGAGGAGAGAGGGAGAGAGAGGGGTATGTGCTGGGGATAAAGAGAGAGACAAAGAAAGAAAGAGCAAGAGGTAAAGGGAGAGAGAGAAAGAGAGGGCCAAAGGCGATAGTGCGAGAAAGTAAGTTTAAGAATTGGAGACAAACAAAAAGAGAGAGACAAAGTCAGAAGGAGAGAGGGAGAGATGGAGAAAGGGAGAAGAGTGAGAAAGGGAGACAGAGTGAGTGGAAGCGAAAAAGAGTGTGTGAAAGAGACAGGAAATAGAAGGAGAGAAAGAGAAAAATGGAGAGGGCCAAGGGGGATAGAGCAAGAAAGTAAGGGTGAGAATGGGAGACAAACAAAAAGAGAGAGACAAAGACAGAAGGAGGGACGGAAAGATTGATAAATATAGATAGAGGGAGAGACAAAGAAAGGGAGGAGAGAGATCTAAATCTTTCAGACATCTTCTCATATTTGTCCTGGTCGATGCGTCAAAAGTTCACACCATCCATTTGTAAAGTTCTATTTTTTCTTGTGTTTTCCTCCATACACTGACACTCGTCATGATGTAGCACACAGCACAGAGGGCAAACGCCACAGCACCACCGGACACTGCTGCTTTCTACTCTATTATTTCCTGTTTCTTATTTTTGTCTGACTTTGGAGTTCACCTTTTACTTTTACTCAAAAAGCAGTTTTCTGTCAACTCCAAATTTTAAGGCGTAGATGTGGAACTAAATATTCTAGAGTGGTTGAATACATTTTTATTAGGCTTTCAAATATTGGCAGCTGCTATTTTTTGAGCAAGCCGTTTAGCTTTGGGTCGTGGCATTCTATATCTACAAATGTCTTCAATGGAAACTTAGTGACTTAAGATTTATTATTGACTTAGATTCATTATTTTTTTTCCCCCTTGTGATGTCAGGAAGTCCTCCACTGTGTTTTCAACTAAATAAACCTTCACTGTAATAATTTCTATGACTTCAGCCCTGGAATTACCAATCTCTACTGAACTATAGGTTAAAAGTAGCTGCTTGAAAACCACCGCTTCATGACATTACAAAGTGGAACAGAGCATTTTGAGCTTTAAAGATGTAGATTATTAAGGCAGGATTACTCAAACATGTGTGAATGAAATAAAACACAACTCCAGGTATGTTTTTGAGGTAACAACATGCCATGGCTTAAAGCGCACAAGAGTCAATTTAGTGTAATACAGAACCTTGAAGTCTTTGAAGGTGAAAATTGGCTATAAATCATCATTGTACTCACCTCCAAATTCCACTTAGCAGTAGCAGTATGTCCGTATGACAGTGTTTTTCACCTCTGTGATCAGACTGTTAAATGAGTCAGTTTGCTGCTGTAAAACATTCACTCGACACATTATTATACAGCATTGTATAGCATTTTACATTGTACTGTTTGCCTATGTATTGATTTTTATTGACATGTTTACTATATCGTCTTAAGGGGTTCTGCGATTACATTACCTCCTTTTTATGTGTGCATAAAATTGACAATAAATTAAATCTTGAATTTGCAACAATTTGAGGATTTGTTTCAAATTGTTCATGTCTGTGGGGATGGTCCTAATTGTTCATCATTCTGGGAGTAAAATAAAAAGAATATGAAAAAAGAAAATAAAACTCCAATATGTTGACATTTTAAAGTTCATTAGACAAATAAAATGGGAGATGAAACTAAGGGTAGGTTTAACACAGGCTTTTAAACTAGCACATATAGTTTTGTGGATTCTGTTTTAGAAGACCAATATCCAGTCTGTAACTTTATTCCTCTGCTACCTTTGCCGTATGTTGAGTGCACTGAGGTCTGAGTACAACCTGTGCTCTGTGTTGCTACAGTACATCCGCAGTACATTACAGAGCACCCCCTGATGTTACAGCGGCTGGCTCTATCCTGTCCACATGACCTTTGACCTCTCCCGCTGTTCCACTCTGCCCTGTATGACCACTTCTATTCCTGTCCCGGGGTCCGATGGAGTCTGCCACCTCCTCTGCTCTTCTCCTCGTGACAGTTCAAAATCAAACACTGTCTTTCTCTGCCAAGTCTAATGTGAGTCCTTTATTTCTTATTAATTAATCTATGCCTTTTCAATTTAATTTACATTTTCTTGAGGGAATGTCTTGAATAAGGTAATGTTATAGCTTTTTCTGAAATGTCCCACTGTTTGGCACTGAATGATGTCTCCATGGAGAGAAGCAGGTGACACCACCAGGACAAGTTACTTATCTAATAAAACAAGGTAGATCTTTTAAAACTTTATACCATAACATTGTTCCCTCATCAAAACATGCCTGAAGGAACATTGAAACATGCCTCTTTACAGTTAGCAGTATGACTGTAGCCAGACTGGTGTCACCTAGTGCCTCCGCTCAATTTAATTTCTCTCAGGAATCAGAATACACTTGACCGTTCACAAAAACCCTGGAAGTGCGAGTCCGAGCACCAGCCAATCAGTGAAGAGCCATACATTCTGTGTTGGCAGCAATTCCCGAAATCGAGGATTTAAAGCCGGAATAAAAAGTTTGGTGAATTTTATCAAGGGGAAAGACGTTATTACCCTTCTTTCTAAGTGACTTGGTAAAAGCTTAATATACCAGTTAGCCTCGTTAGCGGCGCATTACATACGTCATGACCAAATAGCAGCGATTGGTTAAAAGAAAAAAGTACCCGCTAACCGTTGAGCGAACAAATTCTAATGCTGTGAGCTCAGACGGTTTCTATGAAGTGAAACTGGCTGATGAATCAGGCTAGTATGATTGTGTCCAGTGCTCAGTCTACAGGCCTCCAAAGCCTTGCTCCTGCATAGCAAAATGCATGCTGATAATGTGACAGTGCTCTGAAGGGAGAGTGACTTAGCACAGAGAGCAAAGTGAGTGAAGACAAAGAGTGTCAAAAACAAAACTGAAACTTATAAAACATGTTAATGCGTTGTTTTCTGCAAATCTAGCATTTTCAAAACAATATAAGGTAACATACTGATCTAAACGTGTAATTAGGAGATAATACCCCATACTAGTGTAATACCCTCTCTTTAATGCCATACCGTGGAACATTACAGGCAGAAGGCTAACCCTTCACCAGAAAAGTTACACTTGTGCAGCTTTAAAGAGATGTTGGCCTGTTCATTGCAGATGTGAAACTTTTAGGATCATGCTAAATCTGGACTCTGAATCAATCATCCTAGAGCCAATATTTAGCTATAAACAGCCCTGAATAGACACCCTTAGTAATCGAGAGTGTGAATTTGCATGTTTTTCTTTACCCCCAAGGGAAAAGCCCACAGTAAAAATAATCATATTAAGAGATCAGTCCAAGGCAAGCCCTGGGCATTTATGATTTATTTACACAGCTCTGAATGTAAAAAAGGTGAATGACCCAAAACAGTAATGAGCACAGAGTATAAAAAGAGCTGATCTGCCCCACATCCTGTTCAAATGTGGAGCAAGGGATAAAAGGCACAGATAAACTGATGGTTTGCTCTGGGCCATGACTAAAAAAGACATTCTTTTAAAAGCATTTGAAAGTGCGCTACTTTGGCCTTCGTCCCATTTAGAAACAGTGCGTCTTCAGAGTCTTTAAAGTGCAGGAGGAGCCGTCCATTAGAGGTGACCTGAAACACACAAAATCACAAAAAACTGCAATTAAACTGTCTGGAATATCCTCCATGTAATGTTAAAGGTGCTCACTGAAACTTTTCTGGAGCGGGGTGCACCAGCTTGTTTCCATGGAGATGAAATAGTTTGGCTTGGAATGTCCCATAATAAGGCCTAAAACAGCAATCCCCACGGAGAGAATAAGAAGCAGGTCTAAAAACATAATAACTTCCTATGTTTATGTAACACATAAATTTGTTAAACTTTTCTGCCATCTGCTTATTTCCATGAAAATGTTATTGCTTTTCCTGGAATGTGGCACAATATGGTATTAAACTTGGCCATAAAAACAAGCATGTGTGTGCAAGCTAAGTTACAGATCTATGGAGATGCTCACAGTATGAATGCATGTTTTTCAAGGTACTTTTGAGCAATAAAAACTTTTATTGAATCAATACAAGATAGATACCTTTAACGGCATACTGTGGAATATTCCAGACAAAGCAATAACATCTTCACAGAGACAAGCAGAAGGTGTAAAGTTACACAATGCACCTTCAACATACATTGTTACAGCAGGCTCACTTCTTCACATATTTGACCTTTACCTTTACCCTGCATCACCTGCTTGTCCCTAGATATATATATATATATATATATATATATATATATATATATATATATAGAGAGAGAGAGAGAGATACATTTAATGCCATACTGTGGAACATTCCAGGCAAAGCAACAATATCTCCATGAAGACAAGCAGGTGGCAGATCCTCCATGAGAAAGGTTAAAAAATGTGTTTGCTTGAACTATGCCAAGCAGTTAGACATATTCACTTTCTTACCCAGCCCTTCATTCAAATCCCTGAAATAAAAATATCACCAGGAGTAATCAATTATTTAACACTGTATAACCTTAATGCACTGCTTTACTCGTACAGTTTTCTTTTAAATTTTTAAGGTGAATTTGTTGTGTAGCCTCAAATTTTATCGCCTCATTAAATCTAAAGAAGACTGAATATATGGAAAAGAACAGGTCAGTTTTAGCAGACAAGGAACACATAAGCAGAAGTGCATTACAGTTTGCAGTGACATCAAGCTGGGGGGGATGCATGTATGTCTATATTGCAGAATGTTTAGCAGTTACTATGGTGATACAATGCATACAAACACAGCCAGATAAGATGCCTCTGTCTTTGTATGCCCATGTGCTATTCCCATTTAGTCTTTTTTGGAAATAGAAATGCAATAAAATTATATAAAAAACAAGAAGAAAACTTTGTTACGTAGATTGGCAAATATGAGCTTCAACAGCATGACAAATCTTGGATATTGGTATCTTGTGAAAAAGAAACAGTTTTAAAACAATGAAGCAATCAAAAGCAAATGTTTCCTGTCTCCTACTGTTTTGTATGTTGATGAACAGTTTTCATTGTTAGTTTTGTCTAGAAATGTCGCCAACCTTCAGTGTGAAAATGAGAACTGAAGAGGTTTTGTCTTGTTGCTTTCTCAGTTGGACATTGAAAAAAACAAACAAAACAAAACACTAGTCTATGAAACTAAAAAGGTAGTGTAACTAGACCAAGTTACAGGTCAGATCTGTGGAGGGACAACCCTGCTCACTGTTTTTCTAGGTATTTTTGTGCAGTAAAACAACCTGTAGTTGAGTAAATGTTAGGTAGAGCTGTTTAAAGCCATTCTGTGGAACATTCCAGGCAGAGCAATGATATAGCCATAGAAACAAGCAGGTGATGAACCCCCAACCAAAAATGTACATACTGCACCTTTAAGATACATTGTTATTGTTCCCGCATATTTGTCATTTGCAGTGAACCCAAGATCTTATGCCATCTTTGGGTGGGGGTGCTTGTCTCCATAGAGATGTTATTCATTTGCCTGTATTGATTTATATTTTGGTATTACATTTTTCATTGTTGCATTTATTGAATTTTGCATCTCCACTAACTTGGCCTGGTGACGACCAGCCTCTACATACATGCACATTTAAGCTTCGTGGTCAGGAATAGCTAGTTGGAGGACTAACCTGAGCGCCCTTTTATATTTTTGTCTTCTGAACATCTGAAAGAGCTCTGCCTCGGGGTTCACACTGACATGAATAAAACTAATAGACCTTTTTAAATGGCAGCCCTCCGGCATCCATCTGTTTCTCTCACTTTAGTTCAAAACGCTCCCACCTGCACCTGTCCTGCTCTGAACTGCTCCAAATAGAGCTGCACAATATATTGTAATCAAATCAAATTGAAACACAATTTGCGTTGGTGCAATTATCAAATCACAAAAACTGCCTTTATTTAGATAATCCTCTGCAAAGAACAAAAATAACATAATTTTGAAATTGAAAAATCTTTTTGTATCTGTAGCTTAGACCTCTACAAACATGCTCTCGGAAATGCATTGGGTTTTTGTATTAGTTTATCAGTTCATATTTTAGTCTTCTTTTGAATGTTAATTTATAATGTGCACTCTGAATAGAATCTTTTTAAACATACTTGTCTCCAGATGATCTCTTCTTTAGCCTTAAAGTGCATATGAAAAATTGCATGACAAAATAAAGGTGTCATTTATTTTCATTAGTCTAATCATAACTGCTGTGCATAATTTGATCAAGATTTAGGGGCCGACACGGAAATCAATCAGAAGAGCAATTCGCCACCACCGCTAGAGTACAAAAGCTTATTTGAGTCAAAAGCTTAAATAAAAGCCTACAATGGAATTAGAAGAATATTGCTGGCCTTTTAAACATTAAAAACTGCTGAATCATTTGCCTGATTTCCTCCGATCCACAGCCAAAGATGCAAATGGCTCGATTTTCAGAATTAATCCGTTCTCTTGGCTTTCAGCTTTCTACACTTGTTTACATTTGTTTATGGGCTTGTGAAGCCGTGCGCAACCAGGCCAGTGGCAGCTCAAGTTTATGCAGTCTGGCTGGAACATCTACGGACATCCACATAGTGCTCCAGAACCGGTACTGGAGAACAGTGAGGGCAGTGTGTTGTGGTCCATTCTGCATAAAGAATTTGGGATCAGGGACTAAACCCAGTTTCAGCTCTGTGTATTGGACTAAGCTGCACATTTGTAGTCAGAAACAGGACAGTGCAGCAGTAATAGGGATAAGGCTACATACAATGTGTGAAACTAGTGTGTGCACCTTTAGAATAGTAGAAAACCAAACCTAAGAGGAGTATGGTTAAAGATTGCACAGGGACTCCTCCACCTGTCTGCAGCTCAGAGCACAGCCTGTGTACTCCCCAACGAACCCCAGGGAGAGGCAAGGTTTGCAGATTGTCTAAGTGGAGTCTGGTCATTCTATGAGGAGAAAATGTAGCTTCATTCAACAGTTTGTGATTGATACGTACGAGCAGAGAGATGGCAGCTAAACTGCGGTTGCAATCTGTCTAATCACTTGCATGCACACATATGGGATGCGTAAAATGTCAGCATTTAAAAGTTTGATTTCGTTTATGGGCATTTATGTAAGCTTTTAACTCATCCAAGAGCCAGTTTGTTGCAGCCTGCGTTCGCTTTGATTTGGTGCTGACCCCTAAATCATTAAATGTCAACTTTATTTTTGGTAATTCTTTTTTTTTTTTTTTTTTCTACCTCTTTAATCTCAAAATATTACAACTTCATTCTTGTAAAGTTATGACTTTTTCTGGCTTTCATTTTCATTAAATTACAACTTTAATGTAGAAATATTACAATTTTATTCTTGTAGCACCAACATAATTAATTTTTTCAATGTGACACTTCGATTTAGAATTTACATACTCTGTTGTAAATTATAAACTTCACAAAAAAAAGAAAGAAAAAGAAAGAAAAATTTTGCAAGATTTTATGTCAACTAGTGAAATAAATGTTTTAATTTGTCATGTGCACTTTAACGGTGAACTGTGTAACTTATTTGGTTGAGGGTCCGTCACCAGTCTGGAAACTTGCAAGTCAAATTATAGGTTAGATCTGTAGAGAGGCAGTCACACTCACAATAAGAATTGATGTTTTTTAAAGATATTTTTGAGCAATAAATAACGCCTGTAGTTCACTATATGCAAGACAGATTAGCTTAATACCTTACTCTGCACAATTTTCACCAAAGTATTAACATCTCCATGGAGACAAACAGGTAGTGGACCCTCTCCAGAAAAATTACACAGTACACCAGGCCAAGAGAACTTTGCACAACCCATACAATATCACACTATCTCACTCGTTTACAGAAACAGCAAAAAAACGCCCATTAGTAAGTCATAGCATTATTTCATTCACAAACAGCTCAGCCTACTGTCTCCATGTTCAACCCTGTTAGCAACACTACACCAAAGCAATTTACCCCTCAAAGACCACCTGGGACACTTCCACAACATTACCGGAGCAATCAACACGAGCAAGAGAAGAAATCTAAACAAGAAACGTGAGCGGCAAAGACAGATGAAATAATCAAAAAAGGGGAAGTAGACAGAGAGATGTTATCATGATATTGGAGGATGGGGAAAGGCCGGAGGTGCTGAATGGGCAATAAGTACAGTATAATACAGCTGTAATTCCCATAGACAAGACATTATATAAGAGGAGCAGGGTCAGGGAGAGGGATGGAGGGATGAAGGAGAGTGTGCGCCAAACAGCAGGAGGAGATCAGTGCACACAATGTACAGACACAAGCACTATTGGACTGGTGGGGCATCCAGGGAGTGATAGAAATATTTCAACTACAGAGTTTTCAACAGACAAATGAAAGAGGGGCACTCAATAAACGTGGAGGCTTTAGCTGGGTGGGTGTCGGTGATATTGACAAAAATGAATGTATATAGGGTTCACACTAGCTGGCACAGCACATTAAAACTGAGATTAAACCTGCACTAAATCTGAGGACAAGACCAGGACTATAACAAGACCAAACCAAGACAATCGAGATCAATCCAGGACAAAAGTGAACCTATTTGTTCTATAGCTTCAGAGAGTAGGGCCATTATTCAAACCTATGGATGCAATATTTGTCA